TGAGTTATGTGGTCAGGATTGGGCTAATTAAAGCTTGGGCGGCGCATGGAAAGCTTGGGCAGCGCATAGGGGTAACCCGATAGGGCAATCCCCTCATTGGATCGACGAATCTCCGCGACACAGGCAATGGTTGGCCAGTTAGATGCCCGACTATAAGCGACGGCTTCCAGGATGTAGAGTCGTCAGACCAAAAATGGGATCGAAGACATGGGCGGCGCGAAGGAGACTCCCGATTTGTGGTTTTTGTCACCAATTCGGTGGCTGGAAGCGACATGACTCGAGGACAAATGAAGGGAGATGGAGCTCTAGTTAGGGGTGGGCAAAAATACCGAAAAATCGGCATACCGCACTCACCGTACCGGAAAACACTGGAATATTGGTATATCGTTATTTTCGGTACGGTATCATACCATGCCGATTTATTCGGTACGATAACAGTAAATGTTTTCAAATACTGTGGTATATGTAACGCTGTCCCCAAGTATATTTACTTTTTAGTAAATCATGTAATAAACCTTGAAAAATGATTTATAAATTTACGAGGTTGTAATTTTTTTAGTTATTTGACGTGAATAGTAAATTGCACGTGGAGCCCACACCGGGAATGGGGACCACCCAATAATTTCGTGATCACATATTATATTTATCTTGGTCTAGATAATATGTATATGGTAGTGGTTATTTTAATTGGGTCATAGAAAGGGCATAGAGTTGACCCGTTGGTCAAACGAGACCCAATTAGCGGTATTGGTAATTTATCAGATAACAATCTGAAATGAATTTTGGAGACTTCTAAATTAAAGTTGGGGAATATAGATTCATTCTAAAGGCCTATAATGATTAAGAACATGCGTTATATTTTATTTGACCCGATAAAATAAAAATATAATTAAAACAATCCGAGAATTACAACTTTCGAAGGCAAATGTACATTTCGCGACAAGATGGGATGACCTCCCACATGAGTGGGGGGACACCCCACGTTTTTGTGTGCTCAAAGGGACTTATGGGGCTGGAATGACAAAAAAAAGGTGTTGAGGAAAGTTATTTGGCATCTAAAGTATCAAAGAGGACCCCTCACCCTCTCTTATTGTTCAATTGAGACAAAATTGAGTACTCTCTCTCTCTCACCCCTACCATCTTGCTCGACCCACACCCTCAAGTAAGAGAAAAATTGAGCTCTCAAACCATTCTTCCATTGCCAAATTCGAGCAAGCTTAAGGAAGTCCAAGAAGGAGGATTAAAGAGGCAAAAAGTTAGGAAAAGTGTGAAGAATTAAGGTATTGACTCTATAATAACTTTTTCTCTGCTTTTTATCTATCATATGACTAATATATCATATGGATGAACCCTAGAATTGTTCTACATGTTTAGAAGTGTAGAATGAGGGGTTGGAAGGTGGTTCTAAGTCCAAGAACGGACTTAGAAGTCAAAATGACCGGTTCGCTGAAAAATAACCTTTTAGAGGTTATTTGTGTTGATATGAGTTTTGTGATGATAAAACCTTGTTAGGAGCTTGACTAAGGTGTTCCTAGTTTTCGCCGGAGTTCATCAAAGTTCGCCGGAGTTTCACCGGAGTCCAACTAAGAAAGGTAGAACTTCTTAAAGCTCATTTGAGGTGATTGGATGGCTTAATGTCTTGTAACTTTTGGGTTAAGCATGAGATTATCTAAGTAAATGTTATATGTGTTCATAATGATGTTTAAAAGAGATTAAACATGTGAACCAAGCATTCCAGCACAACTGGTTGTGAGGTTACCGTGCCTAGTGTGAGGTCTCGAGTTCGAAACCCGCTAGGCACATAAGGGTTTGAAACTCGATGAAGTGAGTTTCAACCCTGATTAAAAAAGGAGAGATTAAACATGTGATTAGCCAAAGTGATAAGGCATGCATGGAATGAACTATTCAAATATGCATGAATTGTGATATGAAAACGTTTATAAAAACATATGTGATATGTTTAGAGATAAAAGGTGCATAAAATGGTTGTTTATAACGTAATACATGTTGTGATTAAGTTTGACACCTGTTGGATTTGAAATGGTGGGTCAACTGAGGGTTGACCGGTTGCCCAGGGGGCAACCGGCGCCGATCATGCATAGAATCGGCGCCGGTTTGAGAGGGTTTAGCCCGGTTCATATTATTTGATTATGAACTGGCACCGGTCAAGTTTGAACTGGCACCGGTTTGGCCTTATTTTGCCTATATGTTGATTTTTAATGTAATTGCATGTATGATTTTGCTTAGGTCTTAAAACTATTGGTTTAGTCTTGTTTATTGATTATGATATAGACCCTATCTAGTATGATATGTGGTAGATCATAGGTCAGGTGGAGTACCAAAGGATCAGGCGGTATCCTCAAAACTCGGTTATGTCGGGTGGAGTACCCAAGGATTGGGCGGTATCCTCAAAACTCGATTATGTAGGGTCGAGTACCCAAGGATCGGGCGTGTATCCTCAAAACTTGGTTATAACGGGTGGAGTACCCAAGGATCGGGCGTGTATCCTCATAACTCATAGATTACTGTTTACTAATACAGGATCGGGCGGTGTCCTTATGATTATTTGATTTGGACAGGAGGAGTCCTATACACTCATAGGTCTATGGGTGGGTTGAGGTTTTAAGTTAAGGACATTGACTACTACTATATTTCCCTAATAAACAATGACCATAGGGTCGGGTATTTCCAAGTGTATAAAAGTACTGATGTGTATTTTATCACCCAATGTTTGGGTCTTATACTTGAAACATTAGTTATTCTACATTTAGCTCGCTACTCGCTCGGTATTCCCGTACTAACCCCTTCGGGAGGGGGGGGGGGGGGGCACCATTTCAGGTTGAAGCTAAAGCTTTAGCTGAGTGGAAAGAATCTAGAGGAAGACGTGGCCCATGCTTCCTTTACTATTTCATATTACAAACTATGCTCATAAATACTTTTGTAATGATTACTTTGTTTTGGGCCTGCGAGCCTACGTTTTTGCCATTTGTGGCCTATGATTGATCATTGGATAATCCGCTATTTATTCAATCTATGATGTGATGTTGTTGTGTATGTTTACTTACTGAGTATGGTATGAACGATGTTCATGAACGCCTTGTGTGATTAAGTGAGGTTGACTTGCGAGTGACGTTACTTGATCACACGGCGGTTGTACACGCGCCTAGATGTAGTCTGGGGCGCGACAGTATGCCGCTATAATATTGTACAGAATCCCTACCCAACAATTACTTTAAAGGGAAAAGTACAGAAAACGTACATGTGATTTGGGCCATTTTCAGATAGGGGCATGTGTTTCATTTTCTAACAAAGTGGGGCATGTGTTTCAATTCCGTTATCATAGCAGGGGCATGTAGTCTAACGACGTTAGAAAAATTAACCCCGATTTTAAAAAGTCTCCGAAAAATTAAAAGAAAAATACCAGGGGATGCGTCTCGTCAAGGAGATCAACAAGCTATCTTTATTTTTTTGTTTCCAACCACCATATCTTCAGAAAGTCCACTAGAAAGTTGATATCAGCGAATTTGTTTTTAAAAGATAATCCAAATAGAGCTGAAAAATCCAAAGAGAATGATAGTTTGTTGATCTCCTTGATGAGGCGCACCTCCCAGTATTTTTCTTTTAATTTTTCGGAGACTTTTTAAAATCGGAGTTAATTTTTCTAACATTGTTAGACGCCATGCCCCTACTTTGATAACGGAATTGAAACACATGCCCCACTTTTTTAGAAATTGAAACACATGCCCCTATCTGAAAATAGCTCAAACCACATATACGTTTTCTGTACTTTTCCCTACTTTAAATTCCAAAATATTGTAAAAGTCCATTACAATTTTTTAATCCCAAAATAAATACTTAGATTGGTTACAAATGCCACAATACAAAAATAAAGGCCCAATTTCCTAAACCCAATATAACCTTCTAGGCTTCTACTACGTAACATTCAAATAAACTAACCCTAATGACTAATGAGTAATGTACTAATGTCTAGAAACAAGTCCATCTTGTTCCAAGAGCTTGCGAGTCGCGATGACTGAGCCGCTGCCAAGTGTGACGAGTGTATCTACATAGGGATTCTGCGAGTCAAGGCACACAACTTTATCTGAAAATCTTATTCAAATATTTTTTTAAAATTATAAAAATGACTAAATACATAATCATATTAGGAATAAGTGGTTTTATATCCATGTTTTTTGAATAACTATTTATTTTTGTTAAAGATCACTATGGATTTAATTATATCTATATTATTCAAGTTATTTTAGGAGAGTGTGTTACTTTTTAATGTGTGGCATGTTGAACCAATGTTCTAAAAGGCGTAAGGCGTGCCGAGGCGGCACGACCAAGCCTCAAGCCTTTGATGCCTAGGCGAGTTTAGGCAAGGCGTAGGCGTGAAAAGGCGTTTTGATTTTTCATCATAATTTTAATTTTTCTACCACAATTAATTATAATGTAAATTTAGTATATTATGAAGGACACCATTACTTTCTAAATTTCCAATAAAGGTACATTTCCAATCGTATAAAAATACTATTTTAATTGGATTGTAATTTTCTGATCTTTTTTTATTTGATCTAAACTTGTTTGGTCGGGTTGATTCTTGCATATGTTTGTTTATATGTATTTTAAAATTGCCAAACTTTAGTTTGATCTGGTCTAATCTAGCCTAATCTGCTTAATTAGATTTGATCTGATATAATCTCATTTGTTGTAGTTGATCTAATTTGCTTGATACTACTACTACTAAAAATAATAATAATATTAATAATAATAATAATAATAATAAGAGCTACAATAATTTTAGTGTGAACCGTGAAGTATTACATACGGAGTAGTATTTAGCTTGTGAAATGTATAGAATAATAGAATACCTTATAAGGTTGTTCTTCCCTTTGGTTTACTCAATTTCCACACCAGAGGAATTGAAATGATCGACCTTCCACTTCGCCTATATAAGGAATGCTCCACTTACTTGAGGCTATATGCCATAGAATTGATGCTTTACATATGCGGGCCTAATTAAATTGGCATTTAGGTCTCCAATGGGCCTAAATGTGGTCAAATAGTTGAATCTTGGTTCTGGATTTTTTATTAGGCCGCCTTTGCGGCGCCTTTGGCCGCTTTTTAGAACACTGTGTTGAACTGCTAAATAATTATTGTTCAATATTGAATATGACATCAATAGATTATCAATTGTATTTTGTAACATTTTAATAATTGATTAAATATATCGCTAGTAACACTGATTTAGTATATTTTGTTAGTCTATGATAATTTGTTGTATTGAGAGACATGCATAGTAATTTATTGATATCGTTATCGAATTGAAACTTCGATATACCGAAATGCGGTATACCGAAACTTCAATAAGGTAATGATATATAAATTTTGTATACCGAAAGATTTGGTATGACAAATGTATGAGAGAAATTATTCGGTATGCCGTACCGAACCACCCCTAGATCTAGTCGTCCATGGCAGCAAAGCAGAGTGGGACCCTGTGTAACCTTATTTCCACGAAGATTAAGCAAATGGCTTGGAGTACGTGAGCAGACCTCACGACCAGAGCCGGGAGCTGACAGGTTTTCGACCCTAGCAAACTTATTGGAGATCGCGAACGGGCAGCTCGAGTGTTTCTTAAGGTTGAAGGCAAGCTGATTGCGGGCGTCCAACGGGTAATAGCAAGTTGGATCCTTCGCACCAGGTTTTTGGAACAACAGCATATGGATTTGATTTTCCCATTGAGAGCATGGAATTTCATCCATTATGGACCTCAATCTTGCTCGGGTTACTGGTCGATCTTTGTGAGAACTATGTGATGGGGATATTCGTTCTTCACTTGCTCCTGGCAGTCCAAATTTGGCCGATGGAAACACGACAGTACTCCGGCTAAGAGCTTCACCCTCTATCTCCGGCAAACAATAGCATCTTGTCTTGCCTTCATTCAAAGTTGCTGGAGTGTTAACGCAAGTCCATAACTTAAGTATAGCCAACACAGAGAAACACCTGCAAAACAGAACAACAAAAAACATCCTGGCTCGAGACGCGTAAAGGCGGTCCTCTGAAAGTATTTCCGGTGAACGGAAATCTTCCCCCCAGGATATAACGAGCCCTTCGACTAGAAGTCGGAAGCAGAACTACGAGGGAAATAGTTCCAATAATAATCCAGCATAAGTCTCTAAGAAAAATCATTTTAAGGAAGGCCTTTTGAGAAGATAAAGTTTGCAGAGAAGAAGAAGAGTTCGTATGTAGTAATCCATGCTCTAGTGAGTCTTGTTGTTATTAGGGATGTAAACGAGCTGAGCTGAGCCCGAACACCCAAAGCTCGAGTTCGGCTCGATAAAGAATTAGTGGTATTCGGGTTCGAGCTCGAAGCTCGACGAGCTTTACAAACGAGGCTCGTGTTCGGTTCGTCAGGCGTTCAATGTTCGAACCGAGCGCTCGATAAGCTCGATAAATATACTTGAATTTAAAATTTTAGGTGATGCTTGTTAATAGGCTTGTGCTCGAATGATTCGACAAGTATTCGGTTCGTTAAAAATCATACTAATTATATTTAAATTTTGAAATATATATAAATTATATTTAAATTCCAGGTGTTCGATAGGCTCGAGTTCGAACCGAGCCAAATACTACTATGTTCGAGCTCGGTTCGATTAAGTTTTCGAACTTAAAACTCAGCTCGGGTTCGAGTTCAAAAGCTCGTTAAGCTCGGTTCATTAGGTTCGAAACCGAGCTCAAACTCGAATAGTTCGATAAAAGCTCGGTTCGTTTACAGCCCTAGTTATTATTAATATAACAATGAATAGAAAACCATTTGAATAACGGATGGTTGTTTTGGATCCTTAAAATAAGGAGAGAAAAATGCATGGTACAAAACTCATTAGTGCGGCCAAATAATTAAACATCCGTTACATTTATATTACAAAATAAATAATTTATTTGAAATACATTAATTTTCCAAAACTATGTAGGCCTATTTTATCTGGTTGATGTAGATATATATTAAACTTTGCTGAAATAGAAATTTGATGGCAAAATGCATGGATTAAAATTTAACAGAACAATTTCATTGATCCTTCTTTCACTAGAGCTTGTACTTGTTTAGTTTTATTAATAAAACATTTTATTTTGATAAAAAAAAATTCATTGATCCTATACATCACATTTTGGCTACTCAAATTATCCCCACTCTGGAGCCAGCTTTGTCGGTTCACCTTATAAGTTCCCTTCGAAGAACGGTGGAAGCCTAACAAGCTATCCTCCATATTTGGTTCCAAATTACATGGCATATTGGCACCTACCATTTCAGCCAAAGCCAAAGCCAGTCCAATGGAGGGAAGCATAGGAACCCCATGCAGTCACTCAGCGGAATCACAATGTTACTTTATATTATATGAAGATGATTCATACGTTATTTTAGTGTCACAGACAGTTTGTTAGAATAATGATATTAAAATGCGAGTTTAACCAGATAAAAATTCTGAGTTTAAATAAATCACCAGACAAACCGCCAAATGCAAGAACAGAAAAAACAATAATAATACTTAGAATAAATTAAAATGAATAAAGAGGGAAAATAAGAAAACTTATCGGAGGATCGCCCATTAAAATGGACTGGCCTTGAAGAAAGATAGCTCCTGTATCCCGATAGCTATTCGGACGGGTCTGGCTAGCTCGCTCCCAGGATAATCCTACCACGTTTCAGACTCGTAGCTACCTTGACTGAAACTTTCGACCGTTGCCCAAAATGCCTTGGAAAAAGATGAGCCCGAAAAACAAGGAATATAGATTATGAACTAACAAGCACACGTATGGGCAGAGGAAGAGCAAGTGCTTCTTTGTTGTGTTTTTGTGAGCACGTAGAAGAGAAAAAAAAACAGAAGTTAGTGCTCTCCTTTTGATGGGTGTATTTGTGGCTTCAGAAGGATTATGATGAGCAACACACTACTCATTTAGAAATGAGAGAATCAATACAATCATATGAATGAGATGTAACGATTATTCCATGATCATAATTTTTAATGATCTTTAAATAACTCTTGACCATGCTTATTATTAAATACGCACTCGGCCATTCAAATTCAACAATTTGAAATGTCTTAATTGAGCTTAAAAGCTACTGTTTTATTGTCATTATTAAGATAATAATGACACATTTCAAAATTGTTGTCCACAAATAAAACGACCTTCTAATTTGAGATATTTTCCAATACACTTTTAAATCATCTCGAGTGGGCCTGAGCGTATGGAATAATATTTCAAGCTACTTTACATGATACTTAAATGATATTCCTTATCACATAATATTTTATTAATAGACCATCTATTTATGATATAAGACAATAATTCACTATTTTAATAATTCACTTTACAACTTTTACAACTATGGATTCTAATCATCAAATGAAATAAATCCAAGTATGAAAGTTGTACTTTGATAATAAGTCACTCCCATTACATATGTTTATATTGCACATATATCTCAGGATCCCAAAATGAGACCACTCAAAATATAATTTTTATTTCATTTTCCATCATATTTCCAACAATCCCCCACAAATCCATAGTTGTAGACTCAACTCTAATACACATAGTGTGCTTTCAAATATGGTACCTTCCGGTTTGAACCAACTTCTAATCTCTTACCCCTAACCCCCACAGGAACAGAGTGAACAGAATGCTTGAACTCGAACCTTGGTTGTGGTGGCGTAGAACAAAAGCAACACACTAAAGGCAATGAAAACGATCTATAGGGGTGACGCTTTTACGACCGTGCGTCCTGATCATGTCTCTAGAATGTCATCGAGAATTAACCCTTATTCTCTTATTGCGGCCACACAATAACATTCTCATAGTTGGACATCTCCAAGAGTGTATTGCTAACACTTTGCTATTAAAGCCCAATCCCATTCAGAGTCTTAAACTCTTACTATCTTAGCAATTTCAGCATCTCTCAGGATTATCAAGGAATAGAACTCAAAAAATTATTCTAATAAGATGCATAATTCACTCTACAATTTGTTTATACCACATTGAACCTACTTTATGGGATCTCCATTCAGATAGGTTGGGTTGCCACTGTAGATGAATAATTATTGGGTTTCAGTCTCATTCCTAACCTTGATTTTATCACTTGATTTAAATCAAGTCCTTTTGTTAAAGGGTCTGTTGTATTATCTTTGGATCCAACAAAATCAACAACAAACACTCCTTGAGACACAAATTTCCTTATAGTTTTTAATCTAACTTGAATGTGTCTCCTAGTCTTTTGATTATACTTGGTACTCCTAATTTTTGCAATTGTACTCATACTATCACAATGCAAACAAATAGGTGGAATTGGCTTGGTGAATATAGGTAATTCGGACATTAGTCCCATAAACCATTCAACCATAATTCCTGTAGTATCCAATGCACATAATTCAGCCTCAGCGTATGGAATAATATTTCAAGCTACTTCACATGATACTTAAATGATATTCCTTATCACATAATATTTTATTAATAGACCATCTATTTATGATATAAGACAATAATTCACTATTTTAATAATTGACTTTACAACTTTTACAACTACGGATTCTAATCATCAAATGAAATAAATCCAAGTATGAAAGTTGTACTTTGATAATAAGTCACTCCCATTACATATGTTTATATTACACATATATCTCAGGATCCCAAAATGAGACCACTCAAAATATAATTTGTATTTCATTTTCCATCATATTTCCAACACAGTTTTGGGGCTGTTTGGTAACACTGCAATTCACTCAATCGACTGATTCTACCGAAATTTATGAACTTCAGGCTGAAATGGCTGGATTGACTGATTCTACTAATTTATGAAAAAAAAAATTTAAAATATATTTTATTAATAAAATAAAGAAAAAAATATAAAAAATATAGCTCAAATGATCATCGATGGTAACTTCAGTCATTACAGCCAGAAAAGTAACTTGAATCTTACTTATTTTGATTATTACACAATTAATCCAGTGCACGAAATTCAGTCATTAAGTGTTTGGTGAAAAAATTGGCTGATAAGCGTGATAAGCCGAAAAATTGTACATTATATTTGGCCCCATAGTGAGTTGCAACATTTTTCATGTAGCACCTTCTTCAATTTTGAGAAAATTGTAAATTTATCCTTACAACTTACTTATGTACCTAACTAGGCAAATGACCCGTGCGATGCACATGATATATCTAGGTTGCATACACTACCAAAAAAAACTCGTTATACGCATGGTTTGTTGGCAAGGAAACGATCCGTTCCTAATTTGGCTCGGTTGTTGGGTCGCAACAGCTAAACCTCAGGTTTTGGCGCGGAAAAGTTGACGTCAAATCAAATTTCGGGGTTGGCACGGAACTTCCGTGTCAAAGACCGACCCAAAGACCAAAAAACCAAAAAAGTTTGGATAGGAATCGGATCTGATCCAAAATCCGGAACTGAGACAAGAGTCCGAGACAAAATCCGTTCCAAAACAGGGAAAAATCATAAATTCGGATGAAATATAGTATGGCAGGGAACACATCCATACCGACATCTTCCTTGGCAACATCCGTGCCAAAAAGTATTCGTTGTTACTTTCGAAAATTCCACTTGCAAATGTAGCCGTTGATTTCCGAGACATACTCCGTCCCAAAAGTACCCGTTATCTACAGACATTTTGAAATTCCGTGCCAAAAACCTTGCCAAATACCTTGCCAAAAAATTCTATATATAGAACACATCTTATTATGTATTCATTCATTACATTCTTATTAATACGTGGTGATGAATTTCCAAGAACATGGAAAGTGGTATTATTTTCTATTTTCCATGTGGTTGAAGTATTTATATTTGGATTTCTTAAAGTAATTATCGTCAGCGTATAAGGTACGTAAAATTTTCCTGTTAACTATAAATTAATATATCATGCATATGTTGAATTATGATTATTATGAATGATTATATACCCACAGTATATAATTTGAAGGTTTAGTAGTTATATGTGTTTGCTTATTCAATAGATAAATAATTTCTTAATTTTTTTAATATTCAGACACAATGAATAGAGAAAAAAGAAATTGGATGTATAATCAATATGTTGGCAATGGTAGAGAATTGACACAAGAGTTTAAGAATGGAGTTATTGAATTTGTTATGTTTGCACAACAACAAACACGGTACATGGATGGAAATAAGATAAGATGTCCTTGTATGATGTGTAAAAATAACAAATTTTTGCCTGGTGAGGAGTTGTGTTGAGATTTATATACTACTGGTTTTATCAAAAACTATTACAATTGGACCTCTCAAGGAGAACCAATCGAGGCATGTTATTTGCCGCAAGTTGTGGGAACATCTAACTATGTTCCAGATGAGATGGCTGGTTGGGGAAATTATGAAGATATGAAATGGGATCAATCAATGATTTATGATTTGGGGACTTCTGCATTTCTTAATACCCATCCGAATAATGATTTCACTGCACACACTAATGCGGATGAGGGACTAAGTTCATATTTTTATGATGTTGATGCGTTAGGCACTAGATTTCAAGATGTTCTTAAAAGTGCGGATCAACCATTATATTCTGATTGCGATGGTCATTCGCAGTTATTAGCGGTTTCTGATTTTTTGAATATTAAGTCAGAATATAATCTGTCTGAGAATTGCATGTCCAAGATTCTTCTCTGTTGGTAGCATGTTACCACATGATCATTGTCTTCCCGACACTTATTACAACATGAAAAAATTCGTCTCTGAATTGGGTCTCCCCATGATTAAAATCCATGCATGCCCCGGAGGATGCATGTTATTTTGGAAAAATGATGAGGGATTGACCCGGTGTAAGTTTTGTAATGAGGATAGGTACAAGCCTATAACCGAAATGAGGCACAAACCACAAAAAAAGATCTGCAGCATCGAAATTGATATATTTGCCTTTAGCACCACGTCTGCAAAGATTGTATGCCTCAAGTGCTACCGCTAAATACATGACGTGACATGTAGAACATGACACAGAAGAAGGATTAATGTGTCACCCATCAGATTCGGAGGCATGGAAGCATTTGGACCGATGTTATCCTGAATTCGCTATTGAGCCACACAACGTTCGTCTTGGGTTATGTGTTGATGGTTTTGCCTCGTATGGTCAATTTGGTGGATAGTTCTCATGTTGCCCAATTATCATCACACTGTATAATCTGCCACCAGACATGTGTATGAAACAACATTTTATGTTTTTATCATTAATGTGTCCTGGACCTGGTAATTGATAAGTTCGTATTTCAACACGCTCTTAATGCGTGTTGGAGTCAAATTTTGATGGTTTCCCTCGCTTTGAGGCGTCATAAGTATCATATTTAGCTCAAGTCATGTTAGTTGGGTGTTGGAACGAGTTTTGGCATTTTTAGATTTGAAATCAGGTCTTTTAGGGCCCGGTATCGGCGCATTAAGGATTGATCGGGATGAGTTGAGGAGTGTTCGAGAATGAATTCAGAGTTTTGAAGGGCACCAGGAGATTCACGATGAAGATTTGATGAAGAAAGAGTTGTTCGATTGATCGCGGGGCCAAACGGTGACTTGAACGGGAGAAAACGAAGAATTCGGAACAAAAAGGGCCACGCACGGCCGTGCGTGCAAGGACGCACGCGTGCGTCCAATGAAGAAAACGAAGACTACCTTACTGTCAGCCACGCACGCGTGCGTGGTAGGGACGCACGCGTGCGTGGCTGACAGTAAGGTAGTCTTCGTTTTCTTCATTGGACGCACGCGTGCGTCCCCCTTTTTATGCGGACGTCTGTCGGACGCACGGACGCCACGCACGCGTGCGTGGTGCCGTGCGTACCTAAATCTGTCCTAATTCACCCCAAATTGCCTTGTTTCCTATTAATACCACCCCCATAACCCTAATTAAGGGGGATGGAACTTTAGAGAGAGATTAAGGACGAGATTAGAGAGCTTTTTCAGCCAGGTTTTTCAATTCCTTAACATTCTTTGTAAATTCCTACTTTTGATTAATGACAATT